TATATGGTTTATATATACCTCGAATATTTAAAAACTAGTGAGTTCATGCAAATTGATTAATTTATGTGGTATGATCAAATTTGTTTTTTTTATAATCGAAAAATTCGTCTGTGACCCGTCGGTCTTTGGACCAATCACAGTCTTCTAAATTCGGTGGCTAATGAGTCCGTCCATCTACCATTCTCCACTTAAATACCGGGTTTCGCTTTGCAAGGTGTGGAGCTTGAACCTGCAACCTAAGTCATAAATCCTCCACCTTTTGCCACTCAAATTTGTTCTAGAAGAGTAATATTTCAAAATAAATAGTTTCTTAATATAATAGATTAGATTTCATATACGAGCTATTATTTATTATTATAATATTTTTTCGCTTTATTTGAAATTTTTAGAAGTTGAAATTGAAGACGGAGTTGTGTTTGATTATAATTTTTACAAATAATATTTTATTGCTTAAAAGTACTTTTTTAAAAAGCCCATAAAATATGATTTAAAAAATGGAGTTTTTTCTATTAAATTAAAAATTTTAAAAATCAAAAAAAAAATATAGTAAAAGTATTAAGAGTGAAACAAGATTTTGGATATTTTTCAAATTTCAAATATTAACTTAAAAGATATCATCAAAAATTTTATGATCAAATATTGATTTCCAATAAAGTAAAAGAAAAAAATTATTTAAAAAAAAAAAACTTTATACCGATACAAACTAAATTGCATAAATTAAACCAAAGATAATAGTATTAACTAAAATGAATAATTTATTGAAAATTGAGATGTTATGGAATTTTTTTAGATATTACAAATAGAGACTTGCTTGATTTCTTGTACACGAAAAAAATATTTTGAGATAAAAATATTATTTAATTAATATAATATTAGTATCTATTTACATTTTTACATGAACACTTGCATAATTAAAGTTAATTCTTTCTTACTATTTTCGCTAAATCTAACAGCCACCAAATTATTAAAATCTGGGCGCCACCAAAAGTATTCATATTTTGATAGTAAAATTAAAGAACTAATATTTAAAACATTTATATATACTTCCAAACACAAGGGTCCATTTTGTTGTTTTCTCGTAGAGACAACTATGCTATCTTTCCATACTGTTTTTGGACATATCTACGTAATTAACTATAATCTAACGAATTATAGTAATTAATAATTGTGTTAGTAGTAGCTTTTATTGATATATCATATTATAATTTTTGGATAATATATCATCTAGTTTATTATGAAATGATAATTTATGTCAAACTTATAAATGCTTTTGATGATTTTATGGTTATAATTAATTATGTTTTTTTTTTTTTGGATAATATATAAACAAATCCTTTAATTTGACAGCAATCGACATTTGTCTTTAACTTTGCGTATGCACGAACAGTGCAGTTTAACATATATAAAATTAAATAAATAAACACATTCTTCCTAAGTGATGTCCTGCGTGTATTATGCCACGTAAAATGTGTGGTGTGTTTACTTGTTTAAATCAGACAATCTTTGACGAGGAACTTTTAAAATTATAATAAGCATGCTCGAAGAAATCACGTACTCCCTCCGTCCCTATTTATATGTCATCCTTAATAAAAATATGTGATCTTTAATATTCATCATTTTACAAAATCAATGCATAAACAACATTATTCTTCCTATTTTACCCTTGTGAGTTATTAACCTTGAAAATATATACATTTGACCGACATAGAAAAACTAAGTAAATAATTCATATCCATTGGTCAAATTACTTAATCAAAATAAATTAATTCATGTTCAATAATTGAAAACTTGACTTCAAAAAAACATTAAATAAAAGTAGAATAATAAATTTACTTAGTTTCTTAATGTACGTAGAATCTAAAATGACTACATATAAATATTTGCTTTAATTATTGCGATTTGAACAATTTGCTTTGTCCCAATGTGTGCGTCATTTTTCTCTTATTGATGGCGACTCTATAGCTCTTATAAAAAAATAAAAAAAATAATTGTCATGCATTGTTAATTTGTCAAGACATAAATCATTTTTGGCTGCCATGAAAATCCCTCCAAAAAAACCTCATTTCTTCAAACCTATTCAACCAGGTTTCAAGAATGGTCTTGTAAGTCATCCTTTTTTTTCTCATCTTTCCTTTATTTACCTTATGTTACATGCAATAGCGGCAAATTCATGATTTTCACTAAGGTACTGTAGTATTTATTTAATTAATTAGGGCAAGTTTATGTTGTATATTGTAGAAAATTCCTATAGGTTTCTTGAAGTATTTGAAGGGAAATGACAATGTTGAACATGCAATATTGAAAAGGGGTGGCTATAAGTGGCCTATGAAGGTGAATGGACATCGATTCGAAGCGGGTTGGGTTGAATTTGTAGAACAACAAGGTTTGAAATTGGGAGATATATTGATGTTTAGACATGAAGGAAACATGGAATTTGAGGTTTCCATATTTGATTCAACTCATTGTGATAGAGATTATGTAGAGTATATGGAGGAAGGAGGAGGAGGAGGAGGAGGAGATCATACAAGTGAAGAGAAATTTAAATTCAAAGGTAACTTCTTTGTTGTCATCTGGTGTTTACTGTGTTTAGGTGATCGCACCTTGTTGTGTTGTGATTTTACGATTTTCTTGCATATATGCTCTGGACTGCTTTAATTTCCTATTGTTTTTTTTTCATTACTACTTTGATTTGTTTTACTTGAGTCCAGAGTCTTTCGGAAAAAGTATCTCTACCTTCAAGAGGCAGATATAAGGTTTGCATACACTATATCCTCATCAAACCTCACATTGTGGGATTTCACTGGGTATATTGTTGTTGGTGTAAAGGTAACATCTTTAGAGTCCATTGATTTATACTTGATGATTTTTGCAAGTTAATTCCCTTAGATCATAGCACAAGTCTCAACTTGCTTATATTAAAAATTACTCTCTCTGTTTTGATTTGTTTGTCTTATTTTTTGTCTTGACACAAATTTAAGAAAGTAACAAGACTTCTGAATCTTGTGGGATGGGTAGAATGAACCAAAATGTTCTTTATTCTCATGGTCTTAAACACGTATGTGGAAACTTAGAACTAAAGCTTGCCAAAAAAGGAAAAAAAAATGTATTATTTATGGAAATTATTTTCATGCAACTTGTAATGGAAACTACATAAACCAAATGATGATTATTTTGTAAGAAAAAACTAATTCCAAATTAGCCAAAAAGTATGTTGGTTATTATTTAAATGTTGCTGATTTTCTCAAGTACAATTGTCATATTTAATTTCCAGCAGAAAGACCATGGCGCAAGATCAAGTCGTCAAAAAAGGCTTCTTCCCATGTAAAAGCTTCTATTCATCACAAGTCTTTTGGTCATTCTCAAATTGAATGCACTATTAGAGAATATTGCTTGTCGCGAGGTTATTTGGTAAGTTTCAAAATTCATTTTTACTTGCAAACTCTTCAAGTGAATGCGTTACACAATCAGGCCACGTATTAGAAGCTATGATAACCATTAATTAGTTACTAATTACATGTTAAAAATGATAACTAATTTGTAATCAAATGTTAAACTAGACTAGCATTATAAAAACATTTACATTGTCAATGTATGTAAACTAAATTCCTTTTGTTATTTTTTTTTCTTTGTAAAATGGTTATACACCATGTTAGCACCTTCCTCGACAATTCGCATATGCAAATGGCCTCACCAATAAGAAGTGTGATTTGATTATAAGAGATGAAAAACAAAGGTCGTCGTGGAATGTAAAGCTAAGTTCTTCTAAAACTCGAACCTCTATCATTGGATGCGGGCGGACCAAATTCTTTGCTGATAATTGCTTAAAGAAGGGAGATTGCATAATGTTTGAGGTCGTTACTAATGGAGAAACACCAATATGGAAATTTCAAGTTACTTATCGAGAAGTTCCATTGCAGAAGTTTCAAGGCAAGCTTTCTCATGTAACCAATCTCTTAATTAAGTCTTTGATGATGATCTTTTTCATTGTCATATATGTGTATTATTCTGTGTTGTTTATATAAGTATTACGTCTTGGATTGAATCTTTTTTTTTCTTGGTACGTTTTCTCAAGTGTGTAAACCATTTTCTTTTACCTTTTTCACCTAATAAAACAAAAAAATGGGTGTAATTCCATTACTTAAACTGTTTCTGTTTGTATTTCATATCACTTGTTTCGATCAATATAATAGTTGTTATATCCTTTGCTACCTATAATCTATCTATGTAAAGTGTTTTTCATGTGATTAAATAGAAGTGTTATGTATGATTGTTATTTCTTTTCTATTATGGGTACCTTTTAGCTACTTCTTCGTGTTAGTAGAATAGTGCTTAAGTGCAGTTTGCTGTATGTATTCACTCAAGAATGCAGCTTGAAAACGGTATTTACCGGTTATGCTGAAAATCAATATCAAAGTCACTGATCAGGGGGGCTGATAGTTAAAAATATATAATTGTGTGTTTTAGAATATAGTCAAGTTCAATTCCAAACCAGTAAACTTTATTTTGATATCATATTCTCTTTTTCTTAATAGAGCGACATCCTCACTGAGGATTCACGTATCAGACCACAGTTTGAGTTTGTATTTAGGCACAGTAGTAGTACTAGTTGTTGTTATTCTGTTTTTCTAATTAGAGTGACATCCTCAGTGAAAATTCGTACATCGGTCACCACAATCTGAGTTTGGATGAAGGCATAGTAGTACTAGTTGTTGTTATTCTGTTTTTCTTAATAGAGCGACATCCTCAGTGAGGATTCATATCTCAGACCGTAATTTGAGTTTGCATTAAGGTATAGTAGTAGTAGTAGTTGTTATTCTGTTTTTTTCCTTCCAAAATGATTTGGAATTTGAAAAAGAGTTCACGAAAGGTCCATATTTAGAAAGCGTCCCCTGCTAATTTTCGAAAGTTATATATATGTTATATCTTCCTTTTTATCCTAATTTTACACTTCCTTATCAAGTTTTCTTTCTTTTGCTATGTTTTTCTTAATAAGCAGACATTATGAAAAAACCCTCAAACATGAGTCTTCTCAATGCACAAGTAGTTACTTCGACTTCTGGTGATGATCACCATCCTTCTTTTAGTTCAACCGTTAAACCTTATTGCTTCACAAGGGCATTTTTGGTAAGTTATTGAACTAAATTTTGTTAAGGTTGAAGTTAATTATATACAATAATGTTGGCAACTTCTGTTGAGTGTCTAGGACTTGAACTCTTTTTGTTGTAGTCCTTTTTTTTTTTTAAATACAACGGTAACTTAATCGACACAACTGAAGAAATTTTATGGTAGCATCTTCCATTGGATTTTGTGAAGTCAAATGGATTGATGAATAGAAAGTGTGAGATGGTTCTGAAAGATGAAGCACAAAGATGTTGGTCAGTGTGGATTGGGAGAGCTGGACGTCATTTTGGAATTTTACGCGGATGGACAAAATTCAGAGCAGAAAATGGACTCCGAGTAGGAGATGCTTACAAGTTTGAACTCATCAAGAATGGGGAAATGCCTATAGCACAATTCCATTGTAAGTGTTCTTTTAGTTCTAATGTAGTAATGTACTTTTGTCAAGATTAAGTTCTATGCTCCGACAGTGTAATATAAAATGATGTTTTGCAGGCAAATATTCTGGAAAGGTTGTAAAGAGCGAGGAACAGTAATGAAGCAAGTTCACTATTAAAAATACAAATTGGTTGATCCAATGTTTGGTATATAACTTCAAAACCTATGTACAATGTTTCTGCAAAATCTTCATGTAAGGTAAGTAAATGAGTGAGACTTGGAAGTAATGACTGACTAGCCAGCTTTTGTCCAGGTCTCGATGACTCAGAATGGCTTGGTCGTGGTTGTATAAACTATGCATGGATTAGTTGAACGTTGTCTCGTTTCCTAGCAGGATAGGCTTGGTAGTAGGTTGGTGCATTGTACATGTTTCCCTGTTTATACCAGTAGTAGTAGTAGTAGGATTTGTTTCGTAGTTGCTTGTCTTATGACTTTTGTTACTCATCGTTATTCACTATGCTTCAGTTATCACATTAGTGAATTATGTTGAGCGGTCTTTTAATTTGAATGCTATGTTATGTTTCCCTATTATTTTATGTCATCTTTACTTCTGTATTTTTTAGCTTCTTTGATGTTCGTTACTCGAGCCAAGGGTCTTTTGAAAACATCTCTACTTCCTCAAGGTAGGGATAAGGTCGATGTACACCCTACCCTTGTCAGACCCTGTTTTTGGGACTACACTCAAGGTTGAAAAAACTTGACTAATTAATAGACGAAAGTATAGGGGTATTGTTGACCCTTTTCTCGAAAAATAATTCAATAGTAAAAGTTCATATGAAGTATCTAATCATAAATAGTTGCTTCTAGCAAAAACATACTACTTATTTTTTCATTTTCAGTTCTTTTAAATCTATATTACACAATGTATAGTCATGTATTGACATTTTTATACATATATAGATAATGTATCTCATGTGTATAACTATTTATGAACAATGTATCAGTTTTGCGTAATTATATATAAATAATTTATTTATACTGTGTAATAATAACTATAGACGTTTAATATTCAATATTTTTAAAGTTTAGTTTCAATTGATAATTGAAAGTAAATATCAAATATTGAATATTCATAATTCAATTCAATATGATAAATTAGATTTCAATACGATGATTTATGCCGATTGTAGTTGCTTTTTCAATCCATAAATGGTGCCATGATGGTTGGGTTATTTTTAAATAACTTCTTTAATCGAAAAGAAATTCTTACTTCTCGATGGAGACAACTGCAATCTTCACTAAAGAGTTCAAAATATAAAAAGAAAAATACATAAAGAGGGTCAAAAAGGGATTAATGACTTAGTTGGTTTGGGTCCTTTGAACGACTTTGGAGAGTGTAGATGATCTGAAAGCAATACCCCTTAATACCTTTTGAGTCGAGTGTATCATATAGGATTTGTCTAATGTGATTTACGTACTTTATGATCTGCAGGCTATTACATAGTGATTGCAGAAGTTATAGCTATTGCAAGTTATTTTGAAATTTCAAAAAAGCATTTATTATATATACATAAAAATAATAACTTTAAAACCACATATAATAATAAGGTAATTTTCGAGAGGATTCAAATAACCCTTTTGACTCCAGCTGCTGGTACTGTTTGAAAAAGAAGTTGATTAAACTAAAACTAAATTGATTAATAAACTAATACAAATTAAAACTTTGGGTCACAATTGGTTAACTAAACCAATAAATAACACTACTTATCTCTCTAAAAACCCACCACTACTGCTCGTAAGTTTTGGTTACCATGGCGTTCCCTACCAGAGTGCTGCTAATTCTCCTAGTTATTTTCACGGTGTTTCAACTGAAAATCGATGCTAAAGAATCACAAATCCATCGAAAACGAGGATTGATGAACTGCAGATTTGATAAAATTTATCAATTGGGTGATTCAGTTTCCGATACTGGAAACTGTATCAGAGAAAACTATTGTGGATCTCATTCTTCCTGTGCAAAATCTCCTTATGGAATCAACTTTTTCCATAAACCAACTGGGCGTTGTTCTAATGGCTTGCTCATGATTGATTTCATAGGTATGCAAAGCTCAATCCCCAATTACTTCGTTACTAAATTGCTCGTAGCTAATATTATATATATATATATATATATATATATA